GTAATGACTGCCTTAAATGGTACATTTTAAACGGGCGTTTATCCCCAGCGAACAGATGCCGACGGATGCCTGTATAATTACACAGAAGGATCTGTCGTTAGAAAGAAGTGATGGTTATCTCGCATCTTTGCGGGTCGCGCATCCTCTTGTCAAAGCCACTGAGAATGAAACACTAATTGTGCCCCCTCCTTCCTAAATGATATCTTCTTAAATCGTTTTGCCAGCTTTATTTCTCACAAATCCGTGCGCGTCTTTGTGTGCTCATGTCTCGCATCGATTCCGCTCTAAATGCTTTCAGTGTCGTTGTTTAAAGACTTGTGAGTCATCCACTCTCTTGCTTCACCGCCACCGTGTTGGTGAGCATGAGTCTGACGCCAAATCACAGTAGAAGTTCGCAGAGCAGGAACTAATCAGTTTGTCAAGAGTCGTAAAGAAAGCATGCGCTCACAACCGGTTTCTACTTCAAACGCTGAACTGGCTCCCTCATAATCATTATCGATCATCCGGAATTGTGCTCTCTTTATTTCTAATCCTCATACCCCGCTTTTGGTTTTTAGGCCTGGAGTATATTCTGAAGGTGTTTGGCAGACTCTCCGAGTCTGGGGGCAACCTAACAGAGTACGAGGCGGCCGCCTTCCTACCCTACCTCGTCATGAAGGTGGGGGACTCCAAGGACAACATTCGACGCGACATTCGGGCCATTTTCCGCCTTGTGGTTACTCTCTATCCACCTGCTCGGTTCTATCCGTTCCTCATTAACGGCCTCAAGTCCAAAGTAAACAAGGCGCGACAGGGTAAGGAGTCCCCTCCTGTACATCCTCTCCCTTTTGCAAGGCCTCTAAACTGGATAGCACTGTTGTGGTGGAAAATAAAGAGAGCAGTTTACTAAACGGTCTGATTTTCTGCTGTGCTCAAATTTTATCTGGTTCGGTTTTCCATAGTAGGCAAGCTGGTCTTGTGCAAGATGAAATTCATATTCTGGGCTCGGTGTGGTTCAACTAAGACTAAGTGCAGGCTTCTTCATTTGCATTAAATTCTACCGGAATGACTTTATCTTCGTGGATTGGTAGACATGGGTACTCTTCGTTTTTGTTAAACTCTTCAATAATTTTCGTAGCATTGATTATTTGCGTGAAATTGTGGTATCCTAAGGCACTATAGAAATTACCAGCATCCCTAAACTGTGGTTGATAGAGGCCACCTGTGATTTGATTATTGCTTCTGATCAACTAACCATCGTCAACCAATCATGCCCCAATTTTGAGCCAGAGATTTGATTGGAGACTTTGAATTAACGGAAGGTCCAGTAAGCGTTTTACCATCGAGCCAGTGACCTCTTCCGTCAATTTCTACCAGAAACCCCAATTAGTGTGTTCGTGGCGTCCAACAAGATTGTCATATTAAGACGCACGCTCATTCCTTTGCGCTTTGCAGATAGTCAAACGTTTA